TATAACTCAAACTTCAAATTGAACAATGAAGAATATTTTAAGTAATGAAGGCTTACCATTTCACCTTTAAAATCTAATAATCTGGGATACTTTTCAAATATTTCCGAAATAGTTGGATGGTCATTTAAAATCCAGCTTCTTCTATTGAAATATGTTTCATTTAAAAATGATGCAATACCATTTTTATTAGAATGTGAAGGAAATTTGAATTTCATAATAGAAATCTGTACAAAAAAATGAAAAATTGGTAAAAGTTAATAAAAGTTAAACAGTGAACTTTTAAATAAAGTCTATATAGAAATAAATGTAATAACACTTAAATTATATAGCAAATAATTATTTTATTATATAACAAATATTTATATTGCATATAAATTATATAACAATATAATTTATATAACAAATATTTATATTGCACATTATATAGCAAATAATTATTTTATACAAATGATTCTCGACGTACCTTTTCTTCTAATAGTTGTTCTGGTAATAATTGGGTAGAAGCTATATTAAAATTCAATTGGCGTTTACTTATTTCTCCTTGTGAATTAGTTGAAATGCAACTTTTATTGTATGTTTTCTTTGATGGAGTAGCTGATTTGCGAATAGTCCATAATCTATATTCTAAAAAACCTTGCTTGGTCAATGGACTGTAGTAATGTTCCTATATAATGTATATAATTTTTAAGTATTATAATTTTTTCAATTTTTATGTGTAATAAATTTATACATAATAATGTAAATAATCCTTACATATCCTTTTTGTTTATTATTATTTTCTCTATTAGCTGTTAAGCGTGGAAATTCAGTGACTATTGCACTTGCTAATGCAATTTTAGCTTCTTCTGGTGGATAACTAGAAATGGAAATATTTATAATAGAATGAAATATTTATAATACAAAGAATATGGAAATATTTATAATAGAATGTGTATAATAGAAATATAGAATAATTATTTGATAAAATTATCTGCAATATTTCTTACAGTGTATCATGTAATGTCTTGAGTTCGTTTATGACTATACGAACCAAACTCCTTCTGTCTGCTTCACCAAATGGATAATCTGTATTTTTAATATTATTGAGTAACTCCTTACCGTTTGGATGATGCAGAAGTGTATTTT